TTACCAGTGTTTAGTGCTCATGGATAAATGGTTACCAGTGTTTAGTGCTCATGGATAAATGGTTACCAGTGTTTAGTGCTCATGGATAAACTGTTACCAGTGTTTAGTGCTCAGGATAAATGGTTACCAGTGTTTAGTGCTCATGGATAAACTGTTACCAGTGTTTAGTGCTCATGGATTAACTGTTGTCAGTGTTTAGTGCTCATGGATAAACTGTTACCAGTGTTTAGTGCTCATGGATAAATGGTTACCAGTGTTTAGTGCTCATGGATAAATGGTTACCAGTGTTTAGTGCTCATGGATAAACTGTTACTAGTGTTTAGTGCTCATGGATAAACTGTTGTCAGTGTTTAGTGCTCATGGATAAACTGTTATCAAAGTTTAATGCTTATGGATAAACTGTTATCAGTTCCTTGTGCTTATGATAAACAGTTAGCAGTGCTTAGTGCTCATAGATAAACTGTTACCAGTGTATAGTACTCCTTGATAAACTGTTATCAGTGTTTAGTGCTCATAGATAAACAGTTACCAGTGTATAGAGCTCCTTGATAAACTGTTATCAGTGTATAGAGCTCCTTGATAAACTGTTATCAGTGTTTAGTGCTTATGGATAAACTGTTATCAGTGTTTAATGCTTATGGATAAACTGTTATCAGTTCCTTGTGCTTACGATAAACAGTTAGCAGTGCTTAGTGCTCATGGATTAACAGTTAGTAGTGTTTAGTACTCACGTATAAACAATTAGCAGTGATTAATACTCATGCATAGACAGTTAATAGTGCTCAATGCTCATAGATAAACAGCAGTGTTTAGTACTCATGGATAAACAGTTAACAGTGCTCATGGAGAGATGACATCATATTATATTCTTATTTGAATTACGGTGGCAGTTGAAGCTTTAACACTGACTGGTACCAGATAAATATTTTCCTTTCTTTTACAAGGAAAACAGGAATTCAAGTACATTATATACATCTTTAAAACTGTTAAGACCAATCAACAGTGAGATGTGATGTGGTGAATATTGTGATACCCTCTTTCATTTCCCAGAACACTTCCTGGTATCCGTTATAAGGCCTTGACAATCTGAGAGTTCAGGCCAATTTTAATACACACAAAAACTTTCTCAATGTGCAGTTGAGCCTATAAGCTGCAGGCCAGCATCCTAGCCACACAGTTATCACCCAGTTCACACTTCTTCTCCTTCTTCTTCTTTAGTGTTCTGAGCCCTTGAGGTTCATTGCTGCAGATATCACCCGCCTCCACTCATCTCTCTGGTTGGCATAGTTCACACTATGAGCTAAAATTCATAAATCTACCTTGTATAACTGTTGTGATACATAAAGTTGGAACTCATATTAATGAATGAATAGGTTAAATGCACTTGCACAAATAAAAGAATTTGGAATGGACAGTATAGTTTTTAACTGATTCTAAACATTTAACAAACAGCAAACATTTCAACACTTAGGGTCTTCATCAGTAACAATTAACAATCATAACAAACTGGGTTTAAAAAAAAGGTTCTTAAAGCCCAAACATTAATAGTTTACAGAATCAAGTAGGTTGTGATTCAGGTAGGTCAGGATTTCATGAGTGCTTTTTTGTCTTTAAATGACATTTATACAGAATTTATTTTGTCACATATTAATAAAACCGTATTATGAATTATGTACTATGGCCACTTTTTGAATCAGGGCTTTTTGTCTAGTAGTACGCAATGGCACACAGTACCAGCATCTTATTTCAGGTATGATTTTTCAGCGTTATTTCAATAAATACTTTGTGGTGAGGTTTTTTTTTTCTTTTAATACTATGCAGTAAATGTCAACATAATTTTTTTAAGAGTCTTTGTGATGAATGTATGAATAAAAATTCATACTGAATTGTTTAAGAAGATTTTGTTGTTGTTAGGCATGAAAGATACTTTAAACTCAATTGTTCATTATAATAACATTTTTTAAAAAGTTTTGCCTGATTAAAAAAAGAAAATGATTTTACTGACTGAAAATTTACAGCACTTTATTATGAAATATTTGACTGAAGAAACGTATACTGAACAAATAGCATTACTCTCTACTTTATTTACATGACAATGAACCCCTATCATAAGTCATGACTTTTTTGTTTCATTAAAAATGTTGCCTACAAACACTGATCTTTGATTTGCCTGTGTTAAAGTGAACCATGAATGAAATGACACATCACAGCACTACAAGACGGGAGCCAAGCTGGCTGTGTCAATAATCACAAGGCATACTTACACTTCTACACGCTCCACTTTCACACCCCAGGGGTCAGTGGCATCATCCAAATTGGCCTAAAGAGACAAGCAGGCAGGCAAATAAAAATGCTTTTCAAACAACAATGGCAGACTAACTAGCATTCTACCACAGCAGGAAATAAACAAGCAGTGACCAAGGCAACTCTACCTGCTATACAAACAGTTTTACACATTGATTACAACTCTCCAGTATGTTATTTACACATTAACAATCAATGGTTGGTATTTTCAAAAAAAAACACACAAAGTACATTCATTTCTGGATGCGTATAGTTATTTGCTTTCTTTTATCTTCATTATGGACACAAATACATAATTGAGAAGCTATCATTTTCCAATTTATAATTTAAAAAAAAAAAAAATAACTTTTAAACGTTACACTGAGCTATTGTAAAAGTTTCATCCTTCAGCCTCAATTATCAAAACCAGGACTTGATTCTTACACATTAACTGCTGAAGCTTCATCAACGCTGTTTGTATGTAACACTTTTTAAGCTTGGAACAAGGTTGAACTCTTTCATCATCATGCAGTTGTTACTTAACTTTTTGAGTCCCAAGGAACGCATCATATGTTCATAGATTCCTACCTAGAAGCCCAATGAATGCTTGATGCGCCGATTTTATGTCTTTCTTGACTACCCCTTGGGCCTGTGATGCTAAACCCTCTGGGACTCAAAGAGTTAAACTACTTTATCTCAAGGGTTTGACCTAACAGCAATCAGTACTTTGGTCTGAAGGAGTTCTACAGATACTATGGAACAAAAATGGTTAAACAAGGGATTAATATAACATCTGTCTGTGAACATAAAATTAGAAGAATTCAAGAGAAATAAACAAATAAAAGAAATATCTGGGGACCACTGGTATCAACAGTTGCATAATTTTAAATTACAGTTTGACAAAACAAAAACAGAAACTATATGCATCCATATAATAACAACTAGTAGTAATATCATGCTGGGCTGGAGATGTATCAAAGTGCAGAAGAATGCAGGTTTCATTAAAATATACAGACTGAAGAGGAGTGTCTGATGGCTGACAATTTCACTCGCATTCATCCAGAGATCCCCAGCTCTAAGGCATGCAAGGCAAAGGTTTGTCCACAGAATTGTTAACTGTTAGCTGGACACTGATTATAGCTAATGAGAGCAAAATGATAAGAACAGGGATAAGATGTGCCAGAAGAGCTGCCAGAGTAACCAGAAGAGATACAAAATCACAGATAAACAAATCAGAAAAAGACCGGGACTGACTTAAATCAGTTATACAACTCACTGAAGTGCAAGAGATGAGATGGTTTGGACAGATTTATGGCAAGAGAGAAAAGAAAAAACAAGGAGAGATTTCTGGCAGCCTTTTGTCACAGCATGGACAATGTTAGCATGAGAATTGATACATGATGTTAATTAAGAGATCAGAAGATAAATCACGACCAACAAGACACTTAACGATGATTTGGTTAACTGTGGTTTACAACTGATAAAGTCTAACTTCCCTCTTCTGATACAATGATAAATTAGTATGTAATAAAGTATCATAAACAATTAACATCACTGACCAAAAAAACAAGCACAGTGACTCCAGCCCAAGAAAGATAGCTACAGAAAACACAAAGTATAGATAAGTATATACAGTGGTACTTCGGTATATGTTCGCTTCAGCATATGTTCAACTTGGTATATGTCCAGTCTAGACGTGAAAACTCCTCCTTGGTATATCACCTTTGCTTAGAATTCTCGTACAAGTCGAAATTAATTATGACACTGCACGCTATCTCTGTTTACCTCTCTCGAGACAAAGCTATCAATGACTTTGTAGAGAAGTTTTACCCCAACCAAGCCATAATAGCCATGTTTGGGATGACCAGACATTGTCACATTTAACAAAGCTCCTCAGCAAAAGGGAGAAGTGAAGTTTTTTGGGCAGCTGTTTAGGAAAAGTTAAACCCGATGAGCCTCAACCAGGTTCAAGTTGTGAAAAGTTACAGGAAATAAAAACCCAAAGAAAGAAAAAAATCCACACACCAGAATTTCAGATTCCTGAAGTTTTACTGGAAGGGGCCACTACTTCCAAACAATAACCTCTTCTCTCCTCCCCTCTCAGTATCTTCCTAGTAGGCACTCAACTCTTCTAAGGGAGGTAAGGTAAGGTTACATTTTCACTTATTTCATCTAATCTAATTGCTTTTGCATTTATGTATTTTAGTGTTCTGTTAGGCAGTATATAAATTACTTGATTTAACCCCATTAATGTATAATATGACAATAAACTTTTTTTTTATTTTTTTTTTACAGGAACAGAGTAAACATTGTTTTTCTTATGGGAAAATTCATTTGGCATAAATCCAAGGATCAAGAACGGATTAAGTACATGTGCCACAGTACCACTGTATATGGGATTCTGTAACCATGAAATTATTATGGTAAATAGATTGCTTTGGCAGGTAATTCGACACTGATATACTACTTCTAAAAACAATGACCAAAATGCATCTACACGCTGAAAATATATGTATAATAAAGTATACTGATTAGTAGTACAATGATAATAAACCATATCTCTATAAGGGAACAGGCAGGACACAAAATGCATTAAACTCTTAGCCCTCCCAGGATGCATCTGTGGAACATAGGGAAAGGGTTGTTGGGATACACCGCTGCACTAGCCACAACAGCAACAACACTGGTTGAATATGAGAACAAGCCGTTGCACTTACATCTCCACCCGCTCCACGCGGATCCCCCAAGGATCTGCACACTCATCCAGGTTACTCTGTGAAAATCGTGTGCCAGTAATGAGCCCAATGACCCGCAGAAAGAATGCCAGGAACTGACCAGCTTATGACACAATCAATACCTACCAAATCGATCACAACATTCCCCATTTTCTTATACCTTCTTTCTCTCCCTTCATAAATGTTAAACAAGCCTTATGGTGTTCATACGCATTAGTATCTTCTTCTTCAGCATTCCGAGCCCTTGAGGTTCATTGCTGCAGATATCACCCGCCTCCATTCATCTCTCTAATTGGCCTTCTTTTTCCAGTTGGTGACAGCAAGTGTTCACATGTATCAGTATATCAACAAATTATGTGTTACTATAACTTCTGCTTTTGTAAGTATGCAATCTTTAAAGCAGGTAAAATATGTTTAAACAAAATCAAAACTGTGTCAAGCTGTTAGTAATAAAGATCAGGAGTTACTCAAGCCGTCTACTTTTACTTGAATGTATATCTAATTTTTACTGATATAATTAACCATAAAAACCAAGTTCTTTTTAATTTCTATTTCCATATCTCAAGACTTATTTGGAACATACACCTTTTTTAAAATCCACAAAAACATGTACATCTCTTCTATATTCCCAAATTTGCTGTGCTATTTGCCGTAAAATAAATTTCTGATCTGTTCTGTCGGAAACCAGCTTGGTATTCTCACCAATATGTCTTTGATAAATGGTTTTAGCCAGTTTAACAGTACCGCCGATAGTATCTTATAGCTTGATAGATAGAAGTGATATTCCTACATAATTTTCACACTTAAAAATGGGTTTTAATAAAGACACTTTCCATTCATGGGGTGAAAAAAATTGCCATTCATTTGAGGTCATCTTACTCCTTTAATATTTGCTGCCCTAGGAACAATTGTCTTGTCAAGAAATTAGGATCTGTGGCGGAACAAGACAGTTAAAATAATACAGGTCTAAAACAGGGGGGCTTGCAGTAACAACCTGCTGTTCTAGGAAATAACCTGTTTTCAACACTTTATGCTTCTTTGATCCATGTAGATTATAACAGAAACATTTCTGGCAAGGTTTTTATTTCTTTCCTCATCTGCTTTTATGTTTCTGTCCTTTCTCACATAGCGTATGGTACATAACAATGTAAAACTGCTCAGTGGAACCACACAACAGCCAATAAATGCTAGCCTGGGTTGCCCTGTTATGTGCTGTCAAGGACAGATAACTCACTTGAACATTTACACTTCTTGCTTGACAGGTAACAATTTTGATGTTGTTTTTGTGTGTTTGAGGGGAATTTCACAATTATATCCAAGCAACTAATGCCAGAGAAAGAGAGTAGTACAAACAATGAGAAAGCAGGGAGTGTGGACTCATCAATTATTTCCAAGCAACTAATGCCAGAGAAAGAGAGTAGTACAAACAATGAGAAAGCAGGGAGTGTGGACTCATCAATTATTTCCAAGCAACTAATGCCAGAGAAAGAGAGTAGTACAAACAATGAGAAAGCAGGGAGTGTGGACTCATCAATTATATCCAAGCAACTAATGCCAGAGAAAGAGAGTAGTACAAACAATGAGAAAGCAGGGAGTGTGGACTAATCAACTATATCACCCCATAGACAGCTTCAAGCCTGCTACAGTAGACAACATAGATAACACAGGTCCCACCTTGCCACATTGTCCAAACATAATTAAAAACAACATGAGTACAATTTGCCAAATCTATATCTGGTCTTGTAATCTACAGCAGGAAGTTAATTGAATGGGCTGACTACAAATATCTGGTAATTAATTTGTGTCCCAAGCAACAAGGGTTAACAATTTAACGACGTCTGTCACCGAAGATTAACACTTTGACCCCGAGGTTCAGCAAACCTGCATTTCCAATCATTACTAATCCTAGAGAAGCCACTTAACCAGTAATTCAACACTGGTGAGTCCCTGAGAAGCCTAGTTAATGACACTGGTTCTATTTGCACCTGCACAGTGTTTAGGAGGACTGTGGTATCGTTAGATTTACTCAAAGATGTATTGTTACAGGTGGTTATTTAAAAAAACAAAAAAACTGTGAAAATGCCATGATGTTATGATTCTCTAGTAGCCTTTAGTAAATAGGGTCACGAGGTTAACTTTGGCCCAGAAACTGTAGCCGTTCAATTATTTGTTCTTTTCACATTTTCTGATCACTCCCTTCTTGTAATCTTTTTTTTTTTTTTTTAGAAAAAAGTTTTAAGTGTAAAGAAAACACATTTAAAAAAAATGTACAAGTGATCTGTGAAAATTAGTGATCTATGTAAACGGTTGTTATTGAAAGCATTTTTTTTCTGGAAATTCCCAGGTTCATGGCCTTTTCTCGAAAAGGTTTCCAGGGCAAAAAGTAGAGCAACAAAGACAAACAAAATCATAACTATTACTATCACAAGAGGAAAACTGATTAAACATGTCGAATGCTGAATTAAGAATCAACATCACAACATTCAGGACACCCCCATAAGAGCTCTGTCCTAATCTTCAGCAGCAAAAGAGTAGTTAAAATTCTGATGGTACCAGTAACTGTCTGATTGTATATCTGTCTCCCCTTTCCCATTTTCCCCCCGATTAAACATAAGAGAAATGAACACACATGTCAGGTGACTTGGTACACATGAACAGCAGCCAATCACAGATGTCCAGCTGACCGATTCATAAAGAACAGCCAATCACACATCGCACTGACTGATGCATATAAAGAACAGCCAATTACACATCGCACTGACTGATGCATATAAAGAATAGCCAATCACACATCGCACTGAGAGATGCATATAAAGAACAGCCAATCACACATCGCACTGACTGATGCATATAAAGAATAGCCAATCACACATCGCACTGAGAGATGCATATAAAGAATAGCCAATCACACATCGCACTAAAAGATGCATATAAAGAACAGCCAATTACACATCGCACTGACTGATGCATATAAAGAATAGCCAATCACACATTGCACTGAGAGATGCATATAAAGAACAGCCAATCACACATCGCACTGACTGATGCATATAAAGAATAGCCAATCACACATCGCACTGAGAGATGCATATAAAGAACAGCCAATTACACATCGCACTGAGAGATGCATATAAAGAACAGCCAATTACACATCGCACTGACTGATGCATATAAAGAACAGCCAATCACACATCGCACTGAGAGATGCATATAAAGAACAGCCAATTACACATCGCACTGACTGATGCATATAAAGAACAGCCAATCACACATCACACTGACTGATGCATATAAAGAACAGCCAATCACACATCGCACTGACTGATGCATATAAAGAATAGCCAATCACACATCGCACTGACTGATGCATATAAAGAATAGCCAATCACACATGGCACTGACTGATGCATAAAAAGAATAGCCAATCACACATGCCACTGACTGATGCAATCACACACATCGCACTGACTGAGGCATATAAAGAATAGCCAATCACACACTCGCACTGCTGATGCATATAAAGAATAGCCAATCACACATCGCACTGACTGATGCATATAAAGAACTGAGCCAATCACACATCGCACTGACTGATGCATAATAGCCAATCACAATACTGCTGATGCAATAAGAATAGCCAATCACACATCGCACTGAGAGATGCATATAAAGAACAGCCAATCACACATCGCACTGAGAGATGCATATAAAGAACAGCCAATCACACATCGCACTGAGAGATGCATATAAAGAACAGCCAATTACACATCGCACTGACTGATGCATATAAAGAACAGCCAATCACACATCGCACTGACTGATGCATATAAAGAATCACACAGCCAATCACACATCGCACCAATCACACATCGCACTGACTGATACATATAAAGAATAGCCAATCACACATCGCACTGACTGATGCATATAAAGAATAGCCAATCACACATGGCACTGACTGATGCATAAAAAGAATAGCCAATCACACAACGCACTGACTGATGCATATAAAGAATAGCCAATCACACATCGCACTGACTGATGCATATAAAGAATAGCCAATCACACATCGCACTGACTGATGCATATAAAGAATAGCCAATCACACATCGCACTGACTGATGCATATAAAGAATAGCCAATCACACATCGCACTGACTGATGCATATAAAGAATAGCCAATCACACATCGCACTGACTGATGCATATAAAGAATACCCAATCACACATCGCACTGACTGATGCATATAAAGAATAGCCAATCACACATCGCACTGACTGATGCATATAAAGAACAGCCAATCACACATCGCACTGACTGATGCATATAAAGAACAGCCAATTACACATCGCACTGACTGATTCATAAAAAGAATAGCCAATCACACATCGCACTGACTGATGCATATAAAGAATAGCCAATCACACATCGCACTGACTGATGCATATAAAGAATAGCCAATCACACATCGCACTGACTGATGCATATAAAGAATAGCCAATCACACATCGCACTGACTGATGCATATAAAGAATAGCCAATCACACAACGCACTGACTGATGCATTTAAAGAATAGCCAATCACACATCGCACTGACTGAGGCATATAAAGAATAGCCAATCACACATCGCACTGACTGATGCATATAAAGAATAGCCAATCACACATCGCACTGACTGATGCATATAAAGAACAGCCAATCACACATCGCACTGACTGATGCATATAAAGAATAGCCAATCACACATCGCACTGACTGATGCATATAAAGAATAGCCAATCACACTTGTCTTGTTATTACAATGAAGAGTGGTCAAAAGCAAAAATTCATGTAAATTGTTGAACACAGAAAATAGAGAATCATATACGACAATGATTTTAGCTAATAAAGAATAGTCAATCACATGTGACAATGATTTTAGCTCATAAAGAATAGTCAATCACATGTGACAATGATTTTAGCTCATAAAGAATAGTCAATCACATGTGACAATGATTTTAGCTCATAAAGAATAGTCAATCACATGTGACAATGATTTTAGCTCATAAAGAATAGTCAATCACATGTGACAATGATTTTAGCTCATAAAGAATAGTCAATCACATGTGACAATGATTTTAGCTCATAAAGAATAGTCAATCACATGTGACAATGATTTTAGCTCATAAAGAATAGTCAATCACATGTGACAATGATTTTAGCTCATAAAGAATAGTTGATCACATAATACATGAAGAATACTCAAAAAAGAAAAGCCCATCAAACATGTAACACTGGTTGGTACACCTATAGAAAGAACAGCCAATCGCATTTGTCACATTAGTTATTACATTTGAAGAAGAGTCAATCATACACTGGCTTTGATCATAAAGTGTTAACAGAGCTGTAATCAAGTTGAACAAAACAGGCTAGAACAAACAGTCTGACAGAACTAGATGATCAGCAAATATGAAGAAGTGACACCGGGTCAAAAGGCCATCAGGGCACTGACCTGCATGACATGACTGATGTTCTCCCTGTCTGAGAGGATCTCACTGAGGTTCTTGGTGCCCAGCACATTCCTGAGAGTCGTGGCAGCCAACAGGCGAGTGGACCTGTTGGAATCTTCAACATTGGTGATGGACATGGTGGCGTTCTGCACCCGGTAGTAGACCACAGCATCTACTGCTACAGTCACGGAATCTCTGGTCAGAACCTGAAGGAAGCCAATTATGTAGTAAAGTAAAGTAAAAATCCATTTCTGCCTTAGGCGCATTGGGCATATGGGAAGAGCATCCTTATTTTTACAGACCAATCAGCACTAGGTAGGTAATGTGGTCAGCATTACGCCGGCCATCTTTACTTCCCCAGGACATACATCCTGGTACCCATTTTAGGCTGGGTCAACTTGCGATGTTCCATACCATGATAAAAATCCACACAGGCAGCTGTGGGTTTCGATCACGGTACGTTGGAATTACAAGTGTAAATTATGTATACATACAAAAATAAAAACAGAGATAAATGAAACATATTAGCTCCCCTTCTTTCAGACTGCTACCTGAAGGTTCGACCACACCTGCAACTTGAAGAGTTGCGCCCTGCCCCAGATGCTAATCCAACATGGCAAAAGCCCCAATATGACCTCAAAGGAAGCTTTAACTGGAGCATCAGTAATGTCAATAGCAAGTACTTTGATAGAGTGTTCTGTAGCTTGTGCAGATAGGGATGGATAATGTCTTGGCCACAATAAGATATAAATATCTTATATCCCTTGGTGAGAACTTGAAATATTTGTTCATTCAATATTCTGCCCACAGTAAAAGACACATAATCCTCCTCCTGCTGTGCCATTAATATATCACACATAGGGCTTGCCGTTTATTCTTCCATGCCATGACTCCCTTGCAATGTTTTTAGATATCCTGGACAGTATCCAGTTCAGCAAATATGACCTCTCTCATCAACATCTGTTTTAGCTGAATATTTTCATTTCTCCAATAATTGTGCCCATAGTTTTACTTGAATATCCTCATTTCTCCAATAAATTTGCCCATAGTTTTACTTGAATATCCTCATTTCTTCAATAAATTGCCCATGATTTTACTTGAATGTCCTCATTTCTCCAATAAATGTGCCCATAGTTTTACTTGAATATCCTCATTTCTCCAATAATTTTGCCCATTTCAGTGCCTTTTTAGTCATTCTCTGCTGGCTTCTTCTAAGGGTGTGCACAAAATAGCACCATCTTCTTCCTCCAATAACTGTTGATACCTTTTATTTACAAAAACCACATTAGAGGGGAAAAAGAACTCATGCAAGCAAGAGGTAGATGGTGATACAAGTGGGAGAAAAACGTAAGGAAATGCAACAGTCTCAGGACCCTGACAAAGTATACAACCAGGGCAGGACAGAGTGTGTTAAAAGATCAACTGCAGCCAACCTTCATTGTGGAGATGGCACCTGATCGACTGATTCATGTCTGTATTACTGACATATCACCCAATAACTGATAATTTCACACACTCACTGTCTCTTTCATTCACTCCTCTTCCCTTCACTGGCTCACAAGCAGGTCATATTTGTCAATACAGACTCATGTTACATGTAGGACGCTACTGAGTGCTTGCTTGTAGTTTACTGTACACATGCCGGCCAACACTGACATATTTGTGTATGCTTCATATTCTTCAATGTATTGTACTTGTAACTCTGCACTTTATTTTTTGTTATCAGAATAGTATGGAGAAAATGACATGAAAGTCCACTACTTTTATCAAAAACATCTCTCCACCTTGCTCTCAATCTCACCTCTTGAGGTGGCACATCAAATGAAACAGTTCTCAGGTCCACTTTTGTATAGGAATCCATGCACGGGATGATGAAAAACAGACCTATTAAAATGCAACAAATTAACACATTGAAAACTAGAGAAACAGGAGGCTAATCATAAATGGTACATTTCTTAAGCAAAATAAAAATAATACAACAGTACAAACCACCGGGCGGCGTCCGTGGCTAAGGCAATGCGAGTCCAACTCGTAAGCCAGCATACCGCGATCGAAACCCACTGCAGGCTGCGTGGATTTTTGTCGTGGTATGGGACGTCGCAGGTCGCCCCAGCCTAAAATGGGTACCAGGATGGGCTGTCCTGGGAAAGTAAAGACAGCCGGTGTAATGCTGACCACATTACCGACAGAGTGCTGATGGCCTGTAAAAATATGGGACGCTCTGCCCATATGCCCGATGCGCCGAAAGGCGTGAAAAGGGAACTTTACTTTTTTTTACTTCACAAACCACCACCATTATCATCATCATGAACAGCATCCCATCACAGTTTACTAGATAGACAGAGTCTAGAAAAACTGACATATGGCTGCAGGACACTCAAGTTCTCAGATAGTGACCAGTGGATCACAACAATAGTGACAATTGCTATAATCACCTGACCAGTATGGTCACTGCCAAGAAGACAAGCAGTTACAAGCTACTTTCTTCAAAGCTGACAAGAATAATCATGATTTAACACCTGACAAGACTTCAAGACAAGATCACAGACTTGATCTGTGATTCTGGTAATCATGTCAGATGGCAAACCATGACCATCTGGTGATCATATCTGGTCGTGAACCATGATAATCTGGTGATTATCTAAGGTGGTGACCCATTATTATCTGGTGATCATATGAGGTGGTGAACCATGATAATCTGGTGATTATGTGAGATGGTGACCCATTATTATCTGGTGATCATATGAGGTGGTGAACCATGATAATCTGGTAATTATGTAAGGTGGTGAACCATGATTATCTGGTGATTATGTAAGGTGGTGAACCATGATTATCTGGTGATCATGTGCTGTGACAAACTAATAACCTGGTGATCATGTGAGGTGGTGAACCAGAATAATCAGGTGATAATGTGAGGTGGTGAACCATGATAATCAGCTGATCATGTGAGGCAGTGAACTATGATAATTTGGTGATCATGTGAGGTGTTGAACCATGATAATCTGGTGATTATACGATGTGGTGAACCATGATAATCTGGTGATCATGTGAGGTGGTGAACCATGATAATCTGGTGATCATATGAGGTTGTAAACACACGATCATCTGGTGATTATGTGAGGTGCTGAACCGTGATCATCTAGTGATCATGTGGTGTGGTGAACCCCGACCATATGGTGATCATATAAGATGGTGAAAGTTGCTGCCTGGCAAACAGGGGTTTTTGCACTGAAATGATTAGTTTTGAAACTGTGGCTGCACTTTTCAGCTACAATAACTGAAAGAATAACTATACATTGACAATTATTCATGTTAACCTTAAGAGAAAATACAGACACAAAAATCACAACATGTGAGATGACATGTACAAGAAATGGGTGTGGGGGGGGGGAGGAACAGGAAGAGACAGACACCAATAAAGTACGAAGAACAATAGTATGCACAGTACCAGCAAATGATTTCAGGGAACATTAAAGAATCAAATGGTTTGGTCATATGGTCATAATGAAACAAACTCAGCCAGCAGCTAGAGCTTTTGATATAAGAACAGCAGAGTCAAAAGGCTCATTTAAAATTAAAAAAAAAAAGACGAATGGAGGGAGTAGAGAAAACACTACATACTATTTGACATTAACACAAGCTACACAACTAGCAACTAACTCCTATCTGCAAAACTTTACAGCATAAACAGTGGGATAAAATAAGAAGGAAAAGAAGAAGAACATAAAGAAACAACAATAACAGGAGGCAAACTACAAATAAACAAAAAATGCTAACACCAAGAAATAATACTAGCCCCCCCCCCCCCCCCCCCCCCCCCCCGCCCCCCCCCCCCCCCCCCGCCCCCCCCCCCTCCCCCGTTTTTTTTTTCCCTCCCCTTTTCCACACACACGCACAAATTCATGCAGATGCTCACACACCTGGCCCTTTAGCTCCACCTGACACCAGTCGACCAAGTCTGAATATAACAGCTCTTTCATATTCCTGAACTACCTAGAACATAAACACAAAGGAATATAGAAATTAACATAGAAATATACAATCATTAAAAATTATAATAATTCCATATGGCGATAGTGATAATGTCATAAGTTGTTTAATATAATTTCATAGGTTGATTAGAACAATATTACAGGCTGATGCAATCATGATTATAATATCATGGGTTGTTACAATAATGTTATCTCCGTTCATAAAGGCAAACACTGCTTATGACAGCATTCAGGACAAGCTGTTTTAGCTCCGTCTCCCTTCTCAACAGCCAGCACAGAGTCTCCATACTTAAGGTACCGTCATCATCTGGTGAAACTACTTGTCTTGCCTTTCTCTGGAGTCTCGAGTGGGGCCCAGACCTCACAGATACTTCACGCTTCAACATTCTCTCCAGGTGCAGGCTTTCAGTTTGCAATAATGTGAGGCTGATAATGATAATGCCATAGATTGTGAATTCATACCAGAGAGTATCCAGGCAGCCTGTTCTGACACTGACCGCACCCCCCCCCCTCCCCCCCCCCCCCCCCAATCAAGTGACTTTTGGTGAGACAAAAATGGGGCTACCACAGACCCAGAATGCCACAATGGTAACTAGGTTTTTAACCTTTTGCTTTTTCCATCTATAATACCTTTACATTGTTCATGGCACTTTTTTGTATTGTCCATTTTGTGAAACCATGCAGCCCCCCAACCTGTCAGATGTACTAAAAGTGAGGGATATGTCCCTTGCAAGGTTATTTCTGCTGCAATAATAATTATAATGCTGATATCTTTTTCACATAATCCTTGTGTGGGTCTTGGGGGGGGGGGGGGGGGGGGGAGAGTAAACAGAACCACTGCCTCTAAAGTGTTTGCGGAGATCAGATGTGTTGAGCCAAACGGTGCAGATATTGCAACTTAGCTATAAACCACAAAACAAAGTGGCAACCACCCTTTTATAGACAAATGAATGAATGACATCACTGCACTTTGGAAATTCCCATAAGTGCACTGTCCCCTTCTACAGAAGCCTATGAAGAGTATCCATGCTTATTACATATGTTGCCTTGGAAGTATTGTGCATCTATCTGAGAGGCAGGGAACCAACAGATGAAAACTCAGATTGTGGAAAAAAAGCTCCAGAAGTGAATGGACCAGAAGTTGACAGCTGGGAAACACAAGAAGAAGAAGAAGATGAAACCAGCTGCATTCAGGGCAACTGCTGAACAAGACCATGTTTCCCATTGTGCATGTTTGGTTACAAAAACTAAATCCAGCAGGCAGTTTAGAAGCAGTGCTGCAGAAATTGGTACTTATGTGAAAATCTGCTACTATCTGACTGTTATCAGGCACAACTGTACTTCTGGTACCACATCTGAGGTTTTGGTAGATTTTAGTTTTCTCTCTGCTAACAACATTCAGATAATTCAACACACACCTCCCGTGTGGGTTCCGGGGCCCCATTGTGGGGAAAACAAGAATAGACCCACTGCCTACCCAAAAGCATGTCGTAAGAGTCGACTAATTGGGGAGCTTCCTTTGAAGTCGGAGTGCATCTGCTGGAGAGGCAAGGAACCAACAGTCTGTATTCAAGAGAATGAGATCTGTCAAACGGATGCACACGCAACACTCAGATTCTGGAGCAGGACTGCAGTTCAGTAGTGGACGAGCAACCAGAACTTTCCGCCAGAGTGTACAGCTGGTGAATGCGAAGAAGAAGATTAAACACACAAAAATCACTCTTTTGTGAAGAATTTAATAATAAATACAATGATGAGGTCAGAGGTATTGCCTCAGAAGATTATTTTCACCAACCGGAAGCTGCCACAACAGTTTTGTTACACACTGGGCAAACAAAAATGGTACAGCATATGATCACATGGACACAGAATTCAAATTCTGATGAAATATAGGGCCAGCAAGGTTTATGTGTGTGCACGTGTACACGGGTGCATGTTTCAAGAGGTTTTTAACTACAATTTAAGAATTGTGCACCTGTTGATGTGTTCTGGTATCTTGAAGAAAAAAAAAATTCAGTACTCATGTATTCCCAAACAAAGTTTAGCAGCTCTGTTCAGGAGCTGCCCTGGGTAGCTCATTTACCTTCTGGCTCCAAGGTCCTAAGTCAACCAACACACCAACCATTCGAGCGCAGACAGCCCAGTCGTCAGCACCTCTCGTCTTCCACTTGATCGCTAACTCTCCATTCGTGGCCCGATTTTCGATAACTAGATACTTGACACCGATTCGCTAGATATCGGTTGAGTCAGTCTTGTCTAGTTTTTGTAGTCGGCGCTGCGTGTGGGGTTTTAGCAGCCCATTGTTACGCACAATTACCAAAGCGGCTGCCTTGAATACTGTTTGGAGAGCACACTTGGTGTCCTTTTCAGGATACTTAACAAGTCTTGCCAACCTCTCAGAGATCAGGCTTTAGCTAAAGCGCCTTATAGGCACCGCCTAGTTACCACAACAGCCAAGATGGGAAAAACCAAGAAGCAAGCAAAAGCCACCTCACCCAAGAAGCCGGAGACTGCTGTAACAGAAGCCGCAGCTATAGACAACCAGAGCCAGGAGTTGATCACCCAAAGACTGATCAGCCCTATTCCAGAAGTCGAAGCCGCAGCGGACCCATCTATTATCTCTGAAACTTAGAACCAACAACCAGCATCTAGAGCAAGGGAGACCGCAACAACATGGTAATTATCCACCAGAGATCATACAGTGTGCTCATTGCAATAGGGCGTGGCACACTGCCACGACCTGTCGTAGCGGGCCCATTTGCCGTTACTGTTCAGGGACGCACGACTTCAAAGAGTGCCCCCTGGCCAAAGTTGATCAGGATTTTAGGAGGCCGAACACAAACAGAAGGTGCTCCAACTTCTCAGGGTCACATAGCGCCAGGTACTTGGGCTGCCCTTACCTGAAAGACTGCAAAAAGTGAACCACTCAGCCAAGAACAGCAAGACCAAACCACAGAGCTAGCACAGCCGCTAAAGACGGCAAAATAGCATAACAGCTGACTGAAATCAGAAACAAAATCAGTACGATCAAGAATCAGAAAGCCAACAGAGATAAAGCCACAGCGGACAGAATTGAGATGCTAGACCTCTTCTCCCAAACGCTGGATGAATTAAAAGCCCAGAGAGCAGACAAGCAAGGAGAAGCTTCCCAGCATAAGAAGATACTAGCAGAAGTAACCCAAGCAACTGAAAAACTGCAAAACTTACTGTCGCAACTTAAAACAGCCAAAGACCAGGAAGTAGCCCGCCGACAAGCAGAAAGAGAGGAACACCAGAGAGATGGCCATTCTCAAGGAAGCCCGCGAAAGTACCCACAAAGAAATCGCTCGGCTAGTAGAGGCGAAAGCAGAAGCAGACGCTGCACTACTAGCAGTTAACATGGAGAGAACCCGGCAGAAAGAAAAGTTAGAACAAAAGACAAATATACAAGAAGCTCTGAAAGAAGCAGTAAGCGACATTGAAAAACTTATTGAAACCCAACAAAACCCGGCATAAACGCAAGAACAAGCACCTGAGCCAGAATATGAAGACTCTGAACAGAACTCAGATGCAGAAGACCCAGATCAGCAAGAACATTAAAACCTAGAATTCGAAATGCCAGCCGTCGTAGCCGATGAAGTAATGACTCAAGACTACATCAAGGAATTGGTGAGACACATGAATGATCTGACTGAGCCAAGCAGAGGAGAGTGGATCAGAGACGGCGGATGGAGATACACACACTACGACATGGAATCTAACCTCAACCTCCCACCAGTAGAAAATACGCAACAGTACGAGAGACGCAAGGAATACAAAAGGAAACTATGTGCAGAAATGTTTAGAGCCCACGAGGTCCTTAATACAAAGAACGCACACAGCAATGCATGGAACCAGTCAAGCAACAAACAGCTGTAGAGGTAACCGAAGCAGAGAAACACTCACAAATGAGACCGAGCACAGTAGAAACCAGGCAACCAATGGAAACCACACAAGCTGCCATGACAGCCAACAAACCCAGCTCACCGGCCCGAAGAAACCCCACAGCTCACGACCAGCCAGGCATGATGTCGACCACCAAATTTACTCCCACCATTACCTGATTCCAGTGCCACCCCAGGCTATGGTCTGCCCTTTTTAGGGCAGACCGAGATCCCCTCCCTACTCACAGAAATCAGAAATCAACGAAAACCTCAGGCGTATTGAAACACCGCAAATAGAGGAAAGATAATTGGAAACAAACTCCATGCAGTCTTTGAAATAACCACAGCTCAATCCAAAAGCCGGTTAAAAGAAGCGCAAATTTTTTGTTTTTTTTTACCTACACCATCACTCCTAGGTTTAAATCTGCGCAGAGATGGGTCTTTTGTTTAAAAACTCCCCTCAACTTCCCTGTCAGCCCATCCTAAAATAGGTGCCAGGAAATGTCCTGTGAAGTAAAGCTGGCCAGCATGATGCTGATCCTATCTCTCAGTGAATGCCAAAAGGTCCACAACACTACTTGGCAGGTAATAAGACTTCAAACCCCAACAGAATTCTTTAGCTGACTTACATGGTGACTGACACACAATTATTCCCAACATGAACACAAAGGAACAATGGCTTACCTTGATACACAAGCACAGTGAGATTGTGAGTGTATGACCAGGACAGGAGGTAGGCAACAGTGTCAGTGGGAAGATATAACATCATGAAATGGACTAACATCAGTTTGTTTAAGTGTATGATCAGAGACAGAGATATCAGTGGGGAAAACATAATGAGATGAACTATCAGTAGTCTGTTTAAGTGTATGATCAGAGACAGAGATATCAGTGGGGAAAACATCATGAAATAAACTTATAACAGTTTTAGTGAACCTCAGGAACAAGAGATAGTCAACAATACAAGTAGGAAATTAACTTCAAGAGATGGAATTACAGTAGTTTGTTTGAGTGTACCATACCACAAAACATGACACTGGCAACAAAACAAGTGAGAAAATAATACCATGAGATGGACCAAGAGTCAGCCATGTAATGT